AGGACCTACCCCCGAAAAGGCCTAAAAGAATGACTCCTCTTCGTTAGTTACTTACAAGCCTAGGCCTGGGAGGATCTGGGATCGTGTCTGAACGTGGTCACAGCAGCTGCTGGCTCCATGCCAATAACCGACACGGCCACAGAAATCAGGTGGAAATTGATTTCTTCAAATTTTCCTATTTTTCTGCTTTTTGTTTGTTTTTTCTATTTTAAAAATTCGGATTCTGTTCAGAATGAGTGGCAAAGTTCCCGAATGGCCTAACATAGACTTTGATGTTGAACTTGCAGTCGAAATCCGCAAAATATCCTCCTACGACCTTCCAAACAACGGCTTGACATCTAGTGTTCCAGTGTTGTTTGGAAGGTCGCGTGGAACAGTGGGCGGGCTCAATGGGGTTGGGGCGGCGCCAATGCTCCAACCTAGGCTCCTAGCGCCTAAACCTTGTCAAATCGCCCCGCCACTTCTGCACATGGTCTGCCCTTGCGTACTGCTGCATATTTGACGGGGAAAAGCTAATTTTCGACCAATTATCCCGAACTTTGCCTTCACGCGAAAAGTTCGTGAATAGGAGGTGCCACATTTTCAGGTGAGTTGAGCGTGAGTAAGAGGAATGAACCATAACGTTGATGAAATACCATGGAGCCTTTGTCCAGCTTTTGCACTCAGGTCAGTTTCAAATCTTGGGAAGAGCACTATTTCGATGGTAAGCCAGGGGACGAAATCCTATCGATAGTGCTAAACTCGGATAAATGATTGGAGAGCCAGATTGAAGGTGCAGTCCAGAATTGGGCACACTTACCGATTCGGCACTTATGTATCATAGAATGGCGGACAAGTGCTGGTCATGTGCCAGGGTCAGCCGTCACTTGTTCCAAATGCCGAAATTTTTACGACCTCTTCCCTTTGGGAGCTTTCGGTGCGACTCTCTCCACCACCGAGTCTCAGAATCGAATACTACAGAAAAAGCCATGGAGGTAAGGGGGCAATAGCTCCATGGCTTTTTCTATAGTATTCGATTCTGAGACTAGACAAATCTCCGCCCACTCTTTCCCTCCAAAATGGCCGCCGTCGACCGGGGTCGATCCAAAAGTTGATCCAAAAACAAATCCCATCAACAATCTCAAGAAAAGAAAAACTCGCCTCATCCAACCTGACAACCTACTAACCTTCACGAACCTCT